GGGGGCACCATACACCATTCACTGTATCTTTCTCCTAGTCATTGTCAAATAAAAGCTCGCTTATCGGAAGATTTTAATCCCACTGTGACTTCACCAGTAAAGAAGACTTTCTTTCAGTCTTTGAAATCTCAATCCACGTGTTCTCGAGCAAATTCAAGCGTAGCTTGCTTTTGGGATATGGGTAAGAGACTGGTTTGGAAGACATTGCAACATTTCGGGAATTTGTAATTCGATAATTCGATTTTTCTAACTCATCAAAAAGAATGCCCTTCAAAACGATGGCGATTTTGACCGCATCAGACTCACTTGAGTTTATGGAGATGTTTCAATCTATCCTGGAGAGGTTTCCATGCGAATACACTAGATACACACCGGCAAAAGCAGGAAAATGGAATCCAAAACAGCACCTAATTTGCTGAAAACAATATGAGATATAGCAAATTGCAAAAAAACAAGTAGAAACTTGCACTGAAATGAATGGAAAGGGATCTAAAACGATTGGTTTCAATTGGGGAGAAACAATTGGGAAAATAAATTGAAAATGTATAGGTGGTGCGCTAATTCCCTCCATTTGTGTAGTTTGCCTAATGAGTATTTGACCAATGTAAATATTGCTTAAAAGCAACGTTTAATGTGTATCTTCAAGATGTAATATCTTTGAAATAGATAACGTAATTTTAAATTAGTAAAATTTAAGTGATAGTTTGGTGATTCTTCTGAAGTTAATTCTTCTTCACAGAAGAATTAGCAACTTTAATACAGAACTTTATGTATTGACGCAAAATCCCAGATGAATAGCGAACCAGCACAAGGGTGCTAATGTTCAAATAAGGGGACAAGAGAGTACCATCAAATTATAGAGGAATAAACTTTTTAAGCACTGCTCTAAAACTAACAACTAAAGTAATTACAAACAAAATCAACTATCTTACATCGTTGGCCGACGAAGAACAGGGATTCCGATCGGAAAGATCTTGCACATACGCTGTGTTTGTATTAAGACAAATAGTCGAGAAGTCGATTGAATACAACAAGCCAAAGTTCATATATTTTGTTGATGTACCTAGAGCATTTGACCGTGTCCAGCTGAAAGACGTCCTGCATCTACTTTACAACAGGCAAATCCCACACAATCTCATTAAAACCATAGAGAACATATATACAAACAATACAATACGAGCACAAATAGAAGGAGACTTCACAGAACCAATATTCGTCAGGGAGATTTCCTGAATCTTACCCTTTTTAATTTAATAATGGAATACATTGTTGGAAGTGTTCGAGGGCGAAAGGGATACAAAATGAGGGATCGGGAAATCAAAATAGTGTGTTGTGCTGACGATGCTGCTCTCATTGCAGAAAGTGAAGATGACTTACAAACGATATTACACTTATTCTACTTGACAGCCAAGTCTCTAAATACAAAAATATCACCGACCAAAGCAAATTACTTAACAACATCAAAAACCCCTCTAAGATGCAAACTGGAACTTGACCGTAAAATAATTGACCAGACAATTAAATTTAACTACCTTGGCGTGGAAATTTCCGGCTTTGGGGGTATTGAGGCAGAGGTGAGGAATCAAACAACAAAGGCAATTAGAATGGCTGGGTGTCTGAATGCCATATGATGCAATAAGAATATGGTAACGGCCACTAAATCGAGGATCTACAAAACCTTCGTGAGACCTGTGATGACATACACCGCAAACCAGGCCAGAAACATCGAAAACCAAAAGACTCCTAGAGACAGCTGAAATGAAAATACTCCGTAGAATCATCGGAAAGGCACTGCTGGATAGAGAGAGAAGCTAGAATGTTAGAATAACCTGTAATGTCAAGAACATCAATGAATGGGTAGCAAACAGGAAGAAGGAATGGAATGAGCACATAAGCAGGATGGACCACCGCAGACTTGTGAGAATCGCTAGCGACAAGTCCCTATTGGGACGAAGAGACGTTGGGCGCCCCAGGTAAGGATGGAGCGATAGCCTCGCACAGCTGAACAATAATTGAACATGCGATTCGCCTAAAATCAAGAATGAAGAAGAAGAAGAAGAAGTTTGGTGATAGATCAAATCCATTAAAATTTTTCGGAAGTAAACGGAAAGAAAATGTTGGTGCTCTCTATTTCTGATTTGAAACTTTTATTGGGTGAAAACTTTGCCCCCAATATTTCTGTTTCCATTCACGTTTCCCCTAAGGAAAATTGTGTCAAACAGTATTCATTTTACAACAGGAATCGTACATTAACTTTTTTACCATTACTTATCGGATACATACTTGTAAATATATTCAAATTTCGGATTGCGTGTGGGTGAATATAATTATCTGGCCACTTATGCCGACTATTCTTATAAAATAAGACGTAGTATCGTTTCTGCTAGGATCAGCATAATTTAACTATAAAAGTAGCTACAGAAGAAAAAAGAATTCAGGTTCGCTCACAATTAAAATTCATATTCAAAATTGTAATAATTTAAAATAAAGTTGTTTTTAAAAACGAAAGTTTAAAATTAATCAATAAAATTATATCACAAATAAAAATTAGACGACTTGGTAAATAATACCGGCGTGATCAACTAAATTTTTCCTAAATTAATTGCTTGTTCAACATCAATCATATTTATCTCTAAGCACGAATTTAATTAATAATTCCCGTTCCTTAGTTTTCCCCTTTTTTAAATTGTGGAGATATACGACTTCACTCTCATCAACTGTCGACCCCAAGAAACCAGCCAGGCGTCTGTAAGCGAACAAAACAGCAAAAACCAGTATCAATTCTGGAAATATCTTTAGCAAAGTCAAGTCTCATAATACTTTTACTGCTCGTGACAACTACATTATTCTTTTTCGCGTTTCGGTGAGTTTAGTTTCCAGCCGATAGACTGTAGTTCCGCAGCGAATTGTTTGCGGTCACCAAACAATATTGTTACTTTGCACTGGGCAGCCAGCAAATAGGATTATGATGCTCCTATGACAACAAATATAGACATTTTAAAGTGTTTTTACGTTAATTGATTTTTGAGCCGGTATTTTTTTTCGATGATTAAAACCTTTATCATAGAATTTGATGAAATTACAGGCCCATTAAAATCTAATACAGGTCAAGCATAAAATTTTTGGTTTGACCGTAGACATTTTGACGTTCATACAATAGAAATTGTGTAATCTATAAACCCTTAGCCAAATTAAACCAGCTATTTCTTGTTTTGAACCATTAGCTCTTAACAACAATAACTGGATGCCATTAGCTATTGGCTGCTACAATTCTTGTACAAATAATTTATAGCAGCAATTTTGAAAATTTCAGTCAAATGGCATACTCTGCACGGTGACCCCTTTACAATAGAAAAGTGAAAGCCTGATGGTATACTGATTTTAAACAGCGACAGGTTTGTCCTATCTGAAAGTTGATTGATGTTTCATTACATTTGTTGCCATTATTCGGATAATATCTAGGCAAATTTCGTGCGCAAACAAATGTGCATTGCATTTTTTGTGTTACTAAAGCACAGGTCACAGGCCCAGGTTTTTATCTTAATTTGAAATCTGTAAGAGCAGTCATTTAAACAATAAATTACATGCATTCTTCTTTAAGTTTGTTATCCCATTAAAACGTTTAAAAAGATCGAGTTATGTTTTGATGTAACGAAAAATCAAAGACGAATCTAAATTTTCATGTATTTTCATCCAAATAATAGTGAGTTAAGGGTAAGTTTCCTCGCTGACGCATTTTTGTGTAAGGCGTTGGAGTTTAACATGCGTCGGTTCTGTCTTAGCTTATAAAGATCGTTTTGAGTTATTTGTCACGACGTCTAACACAATCCAATAGGAATTTTGGAATAAATAACTTTCAACTGAAATCAACTAACAACTAAAATTCAAATAAAATTGTATGACAATTTGAACATGCTCTGGCTGGCAAAGTAACTTTACCTAAATAAAGTAAACATCTTCTTAGTAATTTAACCTCATTTTTATCAAGATCAATTTTAATATTTTGGTCCACTTAAATTGAAATCCATTGTAAAATATCTGACAAAAAATGTACCGATTGCACGAATCCAATCATTAAAATGAAATTTAAATAATGTGAAAGTTTTAATTTAAATAAGGTAAGTAAATGGGTCAGATTTGAAAAGAGGGAATCTTATCACGAACTTACAGAGCAGAAGAAATCTGCTAGATTTCACTTAATAACCCACATAGCATGCATATTCCTGGGACATACATGGGTTTCATTATGAACATTCCATGTATGTCCAATACACTGAAAATTCAGGGTATGTTCAGGTAATATACATGTGTATGTTCTGGGAATGTACATGCTATGTTCAGTGAATATACATGTGTATTTTCTGGGAATAAACATGGTCAATTCAGTAAATGTACATGTGTATGTTCAGTGAATGTATATGGTATCTTCAGGGAATATACATACATATATGTAACGAAAGAAAAATGATCCTTTATTTTATCTTACAGGTTTATTGCCATATTTAAATATTTACTTGTTGAATCAACTATTTACTTTTGTAATTTTTCAACAACAAGAGTTACTTACAACTAAACTAATGTTAATTAATTGGATAATAAATAAATTAAAATATATGTAACGAAAGAAAAACGACACTTTATTTCCTCTTATTAGTTTATTCACATATTTAAGTATTTACTGATGTAATTTTTCAACAACAAGAGTTACTTGCAACTAATCTAAAACTAAT